CGCCTCCGCCCTCGGCCCGGCCGCAGCCCCAGCCTCGGCGCCGCTCGGGCATTCTCGTGCCAGGCCCGGGTCGCGGGGACCCCCGCTCCCTTTCCTCACCTAAAATGCTCGCTGCGCCGCGCCCCTCCCTCCCTGGAGCCGGATCCAGCCGGCCGTCCCCTCACCAGACCTGGCTGGCGGGCGGTCCTTCCCACCCCCGGTTTGGGTTCCTGCGCCCCCAGCCCTAGCTCCCCTCTTTTGTATCACCTCTTCTTCCCCCTCCCCCCATTCAACCCAACTTCAGCCCCGCGCTGCGCCCCCCTTCCCTGGCCCGGCTCGATTGGCCGTTTCCTGAGCTGTCAGACTCCAGTCGGGCGCGCTTATTGGGCGATTCTCTGGCCGGGCGACCGTGCCAAAAGAGGGCGCGCCGGGCGGGGGGCTCCGGGGCAGCTCCAGCCGCGGGGAGCCGGAGGCAGAGTCCCTGGAGAGGCCCAAGGGGCCCGAGAGCCAGACCCGGAAATGGACTGGGGAGATGCTGAGACTGAGGACCTCTGAGGCGCTGGAAGGCAGCGACGCGAAAGATGGAGATCCAGTGGGTGAGGCCGGTGGAGCCAGGGCGGGGCGGACAGGACCGCTTTGGAGGCTAGTTACCGAGAAGAAGCCCTTACGGACCGCGCTGGGGACACCTGGCGTTTATAAGGAGCTCTTTGTCTGTTCGTACTTTTTAAAATATGGTTTGGTTTCCCCCTTAGTAAGGCTGGGTGTGTGGTTATTCCTAGTTTATAGATGCGGAAACTGAGGCCGGCTGCAAGGGTGTAACCAGCTTGCCGTGGGTCACGCGGGTCTCCTAACTTGCAGCCCAAAGATCTTTCCTCAGCTACAGGCTGCCTCCCCAATCCTACAAGCTGTTAGCAGGAAGGACGTGGGGGGGATCCCCAAAATTCCTGCCAGGGCTAGCAAAAAAGCAGAGTGGAGAGACTTTACTGCCGGACAGAGAACCTCCTTTTGCCCTAAGCTGTTCTGCTGGGGTTCTGGAGAGGTGGGAGCGCCGCCTTCGCTTTCCCCTCTTCATCCTCCAGCTCCCTCCTCAGAGCTTTGACAGAGGCCTGAGAGAGCCGCCTCCCCACCCCACCCCACCCCCTCTGCTGGCCCCCTCTGCTGGTCATCTCTGCAGAGAAGAATTCCAAGAGATCTGAGTAAACTAACCCTTGAGGAATCGTCCAGCCTTTAAGAAACCCATGATTAGCTAAATCATAAAAAGAAACATGAAATCAGTCAACAAAAACTCTAGAGCGCCACCAATGTACAAAGCACTGGGCTAGGTGCTCACTGTCAGAGAGGGAGCAGAGCTGGCCCTGACCACCAGGTCCAGCCAAGTTCGGTGCAGTCAGAACTCCAAGACCATGTCGTGTTCAGAGAGAGGCGGCTGGCTTCCCACTGTGAGGGCCGGAGAGACTCTGGAAGTTTGATCTGGGACAAGAAGGGAAGGATGAACGAGAAGGAAAGATAGACTCACGTTTATTAAGCTGTGTAGTGTTTGTAAATATTTTGTTGTCAGTGTGGAAAGAGGACATTACAGTAAACAATCTACAGATTAATTGGCTTTTTAAAAAATTGGCTTTTATTTGTGTCAAGAATCAGGCAACACCTCATTCTATAAAATAGACTGTTCAGATGGGCTGAGACCGGCTGAGCAGACACAGAGAGAAAAAAGGCTGAAGAAGCACCAACAGAACAAAGAATGCATGGGTTGTTTCAAAGTTACTTTCCTGTAAAGGTTGAAACCGGACTTAGGAGAGCTAAAACCGCCTGTTGGTCGTGTCATCCCCCCTCCTCGCCACCCCCCGCCTCTGATTCTTTGGAAGGTCAGATGATAACTTAGTTTTGGCTTGGAGGTCAGGATCTTTAGCATGAGTAATTCCATTTCAGTCTGGTCTATTGGGCCTAGTACAAGAGCTCAGTCCAAACCAATAGCCTTTTACAGGTTTTATTTAACATCAGATAATCATTTTGAAGAAAGTGTTATTCTCTCCAGTATAACGATGAGAAAACGAAGACTCAGAAAACGAAAATGTTTCCCCACAGCCCAGCATTAGCAGCAGGGTACCCCTTGTTCTCTACTATACAGCTCCTCAGGACAGGCCAAGTGGCTAGAGGTATCAAGGTCACTGATCAAGGGCCCCTCCTCCATCCTCTGATTCCCTGAACTCTCCTGAGGTCATTCCATTTCATTCTATTCATTTTTTTAAAAAATCATCTTATAATAAAAGCCATATATTGATTGATGTAGGGAAATCCTATCACCTAGAAAGAGTCAGCATTAGGGTACTAATTTTTTCTTACACAATAACTAACACTTTTACTTTACAAATAACTGGGCTGGGGATTTAGCTCAGCGGCACAGCGCCTATCTGGCAAGTGCAAGGTCGTATGTTCAATTCCTGGTACCGGAAGAAAAACAAACAAACAAAAAAAATACTTCACAGATAGTTTTAGATTCTGCCTTTTTCTACCTAGCAAAATATTATAGATTGTTTTTCATATCAATAAGCATTCATCTGTAATATCCATTTTATTGTCAGAATCAAATTCTCTTGCATGGGTAGCACATAATTTGTTTAACCAGTCCTCTACTGCTCCACATTCTTCACTGTCATAGCAGTTTATAAAATATTTCCACTCTTTTATGAACAGCACTTTGTAGATAAATCTTTTTTATTTTTTTTTTGGTATCAGGAATCAAACTCAGGACCTTGTGCTTGCCAGGCAGGTGCTGTGCCACTGAGCTACATCCCCAGCCCTTGTAGATAAAGCTTCACATATATTCTTAATTATATCCTTGGGAGAAATTCCTGTGAGTAGAATTGCTAGGTCAAAGGATAAAGCACATTTTTTTCCCCTAAGATATTTCTGAAACATGTATCTTCAGCCCTTGTCTCCTTTCCCAATCCCAAGCTTTTCCTTGCCCACGGATGCCCCTTGGGGCCCACCCGCACTCTAGATTCCATTTATCTGAGACCAAGTTCCCCTGTTTCGAAGCTTGCTCTTCAGCCAGCGGGGTGGCTATCCCCCGTACTCCCGGAGAGCCAGGGTCTTTCCTCTGCCCGTCTTTCCACATCTGTCTATTCTTCCGCATTCTCTCACTATTGCATTTTTCCAGGTGCTCTTGCTCCTTGCTTGGACAATTGCCAACTCCTTGTCCTCAAACCTGTCCTCCAGTTTGTCCTCATCTAGCCACACCCCCACTGGAAAGTGTCCACAGTGTAACAGTTCAGCCTCTCTCTGCCTGCCTGCCTTCACTGCATACCACGTCCACACATCACCCAGCCACCCCGAGCCTCCTTGTATGCCTCAGCAAACATATCCTTTTTCCTCCACAAATTAAACTGCCGGTGCCTGGGTAAAGCACTTTGAGCCCTCCAGCTCCCCTCCCCAGGTTGGTAGGCAGTCTTTCCCCCTCCAGGCCCAGCACACCTTGCTTAAACAGTGTTTCTGTCATAACACATTGTGTTACCTTGACATCTTCACAGAACCGTCTCGAGGTCCCTGGACCCTTGAGGGCACAATTGGTATCTCATGCATTCTATGCCCAGGACTTAGTCTGCTGCCCAGCACAGAGGAGGTGTCTAGTAGTTGTGAAATACACAAATGATGTACATCTGGGTACTAGTGATTGGAATGGAGTCCTAGGTATGTGGGGGGCCAAGGAAGGGATGAGGCGGTGGATAGAGAGGGACAGATGGGTTGGATTCTTCAACACAAAGCAGAGGAGCTTGGGTTTAAAGACAATAAGCAGCCCTTGAGTTTGGGGACAGGAATGTCCAGGCCCGTTGTGCTTCGGAAGGCAAACTGGCAATGATGCGGCCACGTTGATAAAGCAACATGCACTGGGCATGCTGGCCCACACCTGTACACCCGGTCCTCTGAGAGGATGAGGCAGAAGGATCACAGGTTTGAGCCCAGCCCAGGCAACTTCATGACTTAGTAAGATCCTGTCCCAAAAAGAGGGTGAGGGGCTGAGGATGTAGCTCAGTGTAAATGACCTGGGCTCAACTGTCAGTGCCGCTAAATAAATAAAGTAAAATTAAATTAAATTAAAATAGAGCAAGCTCTGAGAGCATAGGAGGCGAGTCAGGAAGCTGCTGCAGAGCAGATGTGGATTGGGGCCCAGAGTGATACAGTGGTGGGAAGGACACCATTGGCTGGAAGAGAACTGTGGAAGGCCGAGGAGGAGACCCAGGGGTCAATCCCTATGTAAAGGAAGAGTCCCCCAAGGTCAGGAGAAAACCTGCAAAAGCCAAGGTCACCAGATGGAAAAGTGTGTGCTCTTAAGACAAACTCTAGGAGGTACACCCCATGGAAAGGGTGCTGGCTTCAGAGGGGTGATGGTAAGAGGACTGTGGGGACCCCTCACTAAGTGAGTGCTTTGGTTTGCCAGTGGTAAGCTCCAGGAACCTCCAGATCCCCCTCTACCCATCCTCCCCTTGTGCCTCAACCTTTCAGGGCTTCATCCTACATTGCCTTAGGCTGCTTCTTCAGGAAATTTTTCTATTTTAGAAATTACAATATCAATACTTTAAAGTTTCAGAAATCCTTGTAGAAAGGAGTATGTACTTATAAACACTTTCATCCGTGCTGCTTAAAATCCCACTAGTAGATTGTCATACTTTGGGATAACAAACATTTGCTAAAAATGAATACAGAAAATCTTGAGACAGGAAGTAGATTAGTGGTTACCTAGGCCTAGAGGGAGAAGAGGAATGGGGTGTGACAGGACACAGGTTCA